GTGAGTTTTACTTTTGCGAATCACTTCACACTATATATAACTGTATTACGAATTAACAACGTAGATTAAATATTACTATTCTGTATTCTGTTGTGCGGACTTGAACGGGTTTAATGTAGGCTAATTAAATACTTTAAGATCAAATAGGTCTGATTTAATCCTAGATGAATAGGAATAATAGGGATATTCTGACATTTTTTCAAGTGTCAGCAATGATCTTTAAAGTGTTGATCACACACGTCTTAAAGATTTATAATAAGATAATAACACGCTTGTGTTTTAATATGTCTTGTTTGGTTGATGTGTTAATGTCAGACTTACACTACTGTATCAAAGTGTCAGTGTTGCTGCTGAAAGTCTTGTGTAGCCCTGAGAGAAAGTGTGTATCCCCTGCTGAGTGTGTGTGTGTGTGTGTGTCTCTCTGTCTCTCTGTTCATGCTCATGTGACTCATGATGAGCCTTTCTTCACATCTTCTCATTTAAACACACACTTAAAGGGATAGTCCACCCCCCCCCTTCCCCCCCAAAAAAAACATTATCCCATGATTTACTCGCCCTCAAGTCATCCTAGGTGTATATGACATTCTTCTTTCATACGAATACAATCGGAGTTATATCAAACATGTCCTGGCTCTTCCCAGCTTTATAATGGCAGTGAATGGAGGATGAGATTTTGAAGTGCATCTATCCATGATAAAAGTGCATCTATCCATCATAAAAGTGCATCTATCCATGGTTAAAGTGCTCCACACGGCTATGAGGGGTTAATAAAGGCCTTCTGAAGCGAAGCGATGCGTTTTTGATAAAAAAATATCCATATTTAAAACTTTATAAACTAAAATAACTCTGTTCCAACAGACGGCCGAGTTATTTTACTTTATACCGTTTTAAATATGGATATTTTTCTATCAAAGACACATCGCTTCGCTTCAGAAGGCCTTTATTAACCCCTCATAGCCGTGTGGAGCACTTTAACCATGGATAGATGCACTTTTATGATGGACAGATGCACTTTTATGATGGATAGATGCACTTTTATGATGGATAGATGCACTTTTATGATGGATAGATGCACTTCTATGATGGAGAGATGCAGTTTTATCATGGATAGTTGCACTTTTATGATGGATAGATGCCCTTTTATGATGGACAGATGCACTTTTATGATGGATAGATGCACTTTTATGATGGATAGATGCACTTTTATGATGGATAGATGCACTTTTATGATGGATAGATGCACTTCTATGATGGAGAGATGCAGTTTTATCATGGATAGATGCACTTTTATGATGGATAGATGCCCTTTTATGATGGATAGATGCACTTTTATGATGGATAGATGCACTTTTATGATGGACAGATGCACTTTTATGATGGATAGATGCACTTTTATGATGGATAGATGCACTTTTATGATGGATAGTTGCACTTTTATGATGGATAGATGCCCTTTTATGATGGATAGTTGCACTTTTATCATGGATAGATGCACTTTTATCATGGATAGATGCACTTTTATGATGGAGAGATGCAGTTTTATCATGGATAGTTGTACTTTTATCATGGATAGATGCACTTTTATGATGGAGAGATGCACTATTATGATGGATATGCACTTTTATGATGGACAGATGCACTTTTATGATGGATAGATGCACTTTTATGATGGAGAGATGCACTTTTATCATGGATAGATGCACTTTTATGATGATAGATGCACTTTTATCAGAAACGGCCATTCACTGCTATTATAAAGCTTGGAAGAGCCAGGACATTTTTTAATATAACTGATTGTGTTCGTCTGAAAGAAGAGTCAGTGTTTCCCACAGGATTTTGTGAATCTGTGGTGGGGGGACCTCGGTCACTCCCGGGGGTCCTACATGAAGAGTGAGCTTTTATGTAGCCGGTGTGGTGAAGTGCCGAGTCCCCCCGCAGTGATGAGTTTTAGCTTAGGACCCCATGCCTGATCTAAAGCTGTTCTTGCTATTCTTAATGTAATCAATCAAATTTTAATTCATGTAATAATCTTTTATTTTTATCCTGATTATTTATATAGTTTAAATGAAAGAAATTGCATTTTTAAGTATGTTTTTTGTGACTGTTAATTGTTATTAAGCAATATATAATATATATATATTTTTAAGCATTTTACAAGCAAAACTATTTTACAAACGCATACAAATCTAGTGAAATGCTGTATAATCATCAACCATGCAAATGTGTAAATAAAGCGTAACTGCATTCCCAAATGCACACTAAAGTCAGGGCATGAACAGAGAGAGTTCACTGCATTCCTTCACTGAACTGAGACGCGGATCACGTGCTGATCGCTTGAGCGGAGTGCGCACTTCTCACAGCGCAGCGCCAGAAAACACGACATTTAAAGTGGTTTTAAGTCGGTTCAACTTTGCATTTGTCCTGGAAAGCAACTGCTACTGGAGCGCAGGAAAGTTAGTTTTAGGTTTGAATTCACTGCATATTCGCCTGGGCTGCGAATGTGAATTACAGTCATTTTTCTGAAATAATTGTGTACTGTATACATGGGAAGTATTGTCAAAATTTCACCTGTAGTATGTAGTATTCTCACCAATAGGAACCTTCTACAAGCTTTGGAATTTGAAAATGTCTGTTTTAATGTTAAAAGTCATTTTAATTCTTACTGAATCATTAGCTTTGAGACATGAGGTAGTTTAACGCTGTCTCTCGTGACGCTCTGCAGACTCTGCTCTGGTTGTGTGTGTGTGTTGGAGGAGGCGTGGCTTTGGAGACTCTGCTCTGGTTGTGTGTGTGTGTTGGAGGAGGCGTGGCTTTGGAGACTCTGCTCTGGTTGTGTGTGTGTGTTGGAGGAGGCGTGGCTTTGGAGACTCTGCTCTGGTTGTGTGTGTGTGTTGGAGGAGGCGTGGCTTAGCAGACTCTGCTCTGGGTGTGTGTGTTGGAGGAGGCGTGGCTTTGCAGACTCTGCTCTGGTTGTGTGTGTGTGTTGGAGGAGGCGTGGCTTAGCAGACTCTGCTCTGGGTGTGTGTGTTGGAGGAGGCGTGGCTTTGCAGACTCTGCTCTGGGTGTGTGTGTTGGAGGAGGCGTGGCTTTGCAGACTCTGCTCTGGGCGTGTGTGTGTTGGAGGAGGCGTGGCTTTGGAGACTCTGCTCTGGCTGTGTGTGTTGGAGGAGGCGTGGCTTTGAAGACTCTGCTCTGGGTGTGTGTGTTGGAGGAGGCGTGGCTTTGCAGACTCTGCTCTGGGCGTGTGTGTGTTGGAGGAGGCGTGGCTTTGGAGACTCTGCTCTGGCTGTGTGTGTTGGAGGAGGCGTGGCTTTGAAGACTCTGCTCTCGGTGTGTGTGTTGGAGGAGGCGTGGCTTTGGAGACTCTGCTCTGGTTGTGTGTGTGTGTTGGAGGAGGCGTGGCTTAGCAGACTCTGCTCTGGGTGTGTGTGTTGGAGGAGGCGTGGCTTTGCAGACTCTGCTCTGGGTGTGTGTGTTGGAGGAGGCGTGGCTTTGGAGACTCTGCTCTGGCTGTGTGTGTTGGAGGAGGCGTGGCTTTGAAGACTCTGCTCTGGTTGTGTGTGTGTGTTGGAGGAGGCGTGGCTTTGGAGACTCTGCTCTGGTTGTGTGTGTGTGTTGGAGGAGGCGTGGCTTAGCAGACTCTGCTCTGGGTGTGTGTGTTGGAGGAGGCGTGGCTTTGCAGACTCTGCTCTGGGTGTGTGTGTTGGAGGAGGCGTGGCTTTGCAGACTCTGCTCTGGGCGTGTGTGTGTTGGAGGAGGCGTGGCTTTGGAGACTCTGCTCTGGCTGTGTGTGTTGGAGGAGGCGTGGCTTTGAAGACTCTGCTCTGGGTGTGTGTGTTAGAGGAGGCGTGGCTTTGGAGACTCTGCTCTGGTTGTGTGTGTGTGTTGGAGGAGGCGTGGCTTAGCAGACTCTGCTCTGGGTGTGTGTGTTGGAGGAGGCGTGGCTTTGCAGACTCTGCTCTGGGCGTGTGTGTGTTGGAGGAGGCGTGGCTTTGGAGACTCTGCTCTGGCTGTGTGTGTTGGAGGAGGCGTGGCTTTGAAGACTGCTCTGGGTGTGTGTGTTGGAGGAGGCGTGGCTTTGGAGACTCTGCTCTGGGTGTGTGTGTTGGAGGAGGCGTGGCTTTGGAGACTCTGCTCTGGCTGTGTGTGTTGGAGGAGGCGTGGCTTTGCAGACTCTGCTCTGGGTGTGTGTGTTGGAGGAGGCGTGGCTTTGGAGACTCTGCTCTGGGTGTGTGTGTTGGAGGAGGCGTGGCTTTGGAGACTCTGCTCTGGCTGTGTGTGTTGGAGGAGGCGTGGCTTTGGAGACTCTGCTCTGGCTGTGTGTGTTGGAGGAGGCGTGGCTTTGAAGACTCTGCTCTGGGTGTGTGTGTTGGAGGAGGCGTGGCTTTGGAGACTCTGCTCTGGCTGTGTGTGTTGGAGGAGGCGTGGCTTTGGAGACTGCTCTGGCTGTGTGTGTTGGAGGAGGCGTGGCTTTGGAGACTGCTCTGGCTGTGTGTGTTGGAGGAGGCGTGGCTTTGGAGACTCTGCTCTGGCTGTGTGTGTTGGAGGAGGCGTGGCTTTGGAGACTGCTCTGGGTGTGTGTGTTGGAGGAGGCGTGGCTTTGGAGACTGCTCTGGGTGTGTGTGTTGGAGGAGGCGTGGCTTTGGAGACTGCTCTGGCTGTGTGTGTTGGAGGAGGCGTGGCTTTGGAGACTCTGCTCTGGCTGTGTGTGTTGGAGGAGGCGTGGCTTTGCAGACTCTGCTCTGGGTGTGTGTGTTGGAGGAGGCGTGGCTTTGGAGACTCTGCTCTGGCTGTGTGTGTTGGAGGAGGCGTGGCTTTGGAGACTCTGCTCTGGCTGTGTGTGTTGGAGGAGGCGTGGCTTTGGAGACTGCTCTGGCTGTGTGTGTTGGAGGAGGCGTGGCTTTGGAGACTCTGCTCTGGCTGTGTGTGTTGGAGGAGGCGTGGCTTTGGAGACTCTGCTCTGGCTGTGTGTGTTGGAGGAGGCGTGGCTTTGGAGACTC